ACGAGGTACCCAGGTCACGACGGATATTCGGTGACAATTTTTTGTCGGGTGCTACTAGGTCAGGTTGGGAAATGAAATGGATTTTGTTAAAGTATAATAGGGAAATGGTGAGATAGTGTTTTGTTAATGGAGAAGAGGTAGGCTGTGAATGCGTGCATGTGTTATCAGGTAGGAGTAGACACCACGTCTGGATGTACACTCGGGGGGTTATGCTCGCAGATCCCCCCTTTATATACTTCTTCGGTCGATGGGGGTACGTAGGGAAAGATGTAAGCTTTTTTTTGCATCACTACGTCAGCCCCCATTGACGTAAACGAGTCAACGTGTCTCGTCGGGTGGACCTGACGTCAATGTGGTGTGATGCTCGGTTGACGATTGCCGTGAGCCACAGTGTCTTACGACAATTGGTAGCGTGTCTCGTCGGGTGGATCTGACGTCAACGTGGCGTGATGCTCGGTTGACGATCGCCCCTGACGTCAATGTGGCGTGACGCTCGGTCGACGATAGCCGTGAGCCAGAGTGTCTTACGACAAAAACATGTCACCGAACTACCGAGTTGTAGTTCCCTTGTGACGGGTCGTGGCTCCGTCTGGAGGGGCCCTAATCAGCTTACGGCAAGGATCAATAATGTGGTTTACTTGGGGGCTTTGTGATAGTATGAGAGGAGGGAAGTTGCGGAGGGGAAAGGTTGGCGAGGCTGGAAAGGCCGCAGTCCTCTTTACGAATGTGGCCCTTCTTATTCTTATTCTGGCGGGGTGATAGGGGAGCTTTATACTAAATGGTCGCTGCTCCTACCCTGCCATTAGCAGACGTCCACAACTATCCATAGATGCATAATGGCTGGCGAAGACCCCAGATGCCGAGGGCGCCAGTTCCTAAAATAGGAATGGCGGGAGGAGGCGCTTTGTTCAGGAACGCGCCGACAAACATGTCACACGGAAAACATGCGTGACCGTCCAAACACAGGGGTTTAGGAATAGAATGATATAAACTAGAAAGGAAAAGGTTGGTGATATAGGATGAAGTGAGGGCGGCCCGGACAAGGCGTGTGGGAAAGGCCGTATGGCAAAAACCCAGCACCCTGTCAGTTGGCCCTGCGTCGATGGATGGATGGATGCCCTCCCCGACTCCGCTAAGTTCTTGAGCCGCTTGGCAGCTCGAGGCAGGCATTCACTCAGCCACCCGTCGCAGCTGACGCTTGCGAGGGGCTGAGTCTTGTTGGAGGCTAGGATGAGGGCGGAAAGGCTAAGCCACCGGCTTCTGGGTGGGGGGCGACCTGGGCGACCGTCCCCGTCACAAAACAAAAATTGGACAGATGGCCGAGTTGGTCTAAGGCGGTACGTTCAGGTCGTACTCTCGTAAGAGGCGTGGGTTCGAATCCCACTCTGTTCACAGTACTTTCGCACTATTTTTTGGCGTGCGTCTATGTTTTTCTCGCACCTTCGTGCCATTGGCGTCGCGTGGCGCTTCCCACGGGGCTCTCGGCCCCTGGCGGATGGGGGTGCGGGATGGTCCCGGATCGGCAGCGAGTGTCCGTCACGGCGGTCTCACCTGGTTGGCAGCGGCGTCGCGGAGCCTTCGCGGGCCGCTTGGCGACGCGGTAAGAACCCCTCGGAACGGCCTGGCGCTGGTCGGGGTGATTCGTGAGTGGCCGCGGCCGCGACGCGTGAGCTTCCACGTGGGTTGATTTGGGCCTGACCGAGGACTTGGGGGTGAGCCTGGCTATGATCGACGGCGAGCGAGATACGCTGCGTGCCATCCCTGAATACCCCTCAAGCATTTATGAGTTTCCTGAGTTTCCTGAAGGGTCCTTGAATCGTCAAGATCTTGGGTCGCGTCACGAGCCACGAGCCACGAGCCACGAGCCACTTGAAACACCGCCTCCGAGTCTGCCAGATTCATTCGCGCCGCGCCGCGCCGCGCCGACACGCGGTCGCTTCCAGCTACAGGGCGGCTCATCTGTGACATCCAGGGTCTCTGGCCGATATCGCCAACGTCGACCCGCTGGGACTGGCACGACCCGCCCTCTGCCCATTGCTATCCTCATCCTTCATCCGCCACGTGGCGATCCCAGCCGCCATGGTAAGCCCGCGCTCCCCTTCCATCGACCTCGAGCGAATGAAGGCTTCTTGGGTGATCAGTCGCCGTCTCGCTGACGCACCGCAACCGCTTGGATCGTTTCCTCATGCCCATGACTTCTTGTCTTCTGCGATGAATATGCATATGCTGGGTCGAGGATAGCTCGTCCGTATCTGCTCGCCGACCGGGCAATACCGCCTCGAGGTCGCCCCCGATGACTCGCCCGCCATGCTGTATCTGAAGGCAGCCAGCTTAATGCAGTCGTCGTCGTCGTCGCCATCGCCGCCGTCGTTCGATCTTACGATGAACAAGGAGGTTATGGTGCCGTCGACCACGTCGACGCTTGCGGCGCAAGGGTTGAAGCATGGCGATCGGCTCTTTGTCCTCAACTACAAGCCGGCATCCGCCGGCCCGGCAGCAGGAGCGGGTGCAGCAGCTGGGGCAGCAGCAGCGGCGGGGTCATCGAATGGAGCGGCATCCACATCTCCCGATGCCCCCAACGATGCCGAGCCCATCTCGTCGCAGGCGCGCGCGTTTATCGTGGAGGAGCCGATCGATATGCAGCTAGAGAAGGCGTCGGGCACGATCGTGCGGTCGCGGTCGCGGCTGTGCACACACGGCACGAGCGGGATGTGTGAGCACTGCGTCCCGCTCGAGCCGTACGACGCCGCGTACCAGCGCGAGCACAAGATCAAGCATATCTCGTACCACGCGTACTTGCGCCAAGTCCGCGCACGCAACCGAACGCTTCCGCCGAACCACCCGCGGTTCCTGCCGCCGCTCGATGCGCCGTCCTTCCGGGTGAAGGTGCCGTGCCCGTCGGGCGCGCATCCGTCGTATCCCGCAAGCATCTGCACCAAGTGTCAGCCGAGCGCGCTCACGCTGCAGCCGCAGCAATTCCGGATGGTTGACCACGTCGAGTTCCAGACCCCGGCGCTGATTGAGCCGTTTCTCCAGTTCTGGCGGACGACCGGCGCGCAGCGCTTTGCGTTCCTGATTGGCCACTACCAGCCCTACGAGAAGGTGCCGCTCGGCATCAAGGCTGTCGTCACGGCGCTCTACGAGCCACCGCAGCACAACGCCCACGACACGTTGCAGCTGCTGCTCGACACGGACGCGTATGCGAAGCAGATGGCGGACGCCGAGGCCACCGCTGCCGCGTTCGGCGTTCGCATCGTCGGCGCCGTGATGACCGATCTGACGGATGATGGCACCGGCCGCGGGACCGTGTTGTGCAAGCGCCACGCGGGGTCGTACTTCCTCTCGTCGGCCGAGATTCTATGGGCCGCGCAGCAGCAGCAGCGCTACCGCACGCCCAGCCGGTGGTCGCCGTCGGGCTGGTTCGGCAGCCGCTTCGTGACCTGCATCGTCAGCGGCAACACCGAGGGCGCGATCGACATCCAGAGCTACCAGGTGTCCAACACTGCGATGCAGCTCGCGCACGACGACATCCTCGACGCCTCCGTCGACCCCGCGCTGATGCGGGTTCGCCCCTCCATTCCGGGTGAGCGCTACGTGCCCGAAATTACCTACCAGTACACCAACGAGTACCAGCGGAGCGTGCAAGAGCGCGCGAACCCAACGTTTCCCGACGACTACCTGCTGGTGACCCTGACTCACGGGTTCCCCCAGCAGCCGTCGCCGCTCTTTGACTCGCCGCTCGCCTTTCCGCCGTGCAACCGCGACGCCCATACGAGCGGGCCGGAGGCCCTTGCGGACCTGCCAAGCCTCGCCGCCGCGCTCGCCGCCGCGCCCGTCGCCGAGCTGCCCCAGCTTCTGCGCCACTTCTCGCTGCTCCACTTCATTGCGGGGCTCAGCATCTTTGGGCCCGACGCGCTGGCGCAGCTCCGCCGCGCCGTCCTCGTCAACGACGGCCCTGCGATTGTCGCGCTCGCCGAGTGGGAGACCTTCCAGCTCATCCTCGCCGAGACCCGCGGCGACTGGCGCCGGCAGGGCCAGCCGAGCGGCGCCGAGCCGTCGGGCCATGCGGCGCCGCCGTCCGCCTCCGGGTCAGGCCACGCCGCGTCCGGTGGCGACACAGGCGGCGGTGGCGGCGAGTGGGCATGCCAGCACTGCACGTTCCTCAACACAGGGTCGCGCGACGCATGTGCCATCTGTGGCCTGCCGGCTTAGCCGGCGGCGGGAACCCACCGACGCCGTGCCCGGCTCCGCCCACAGCGTCGGGCAGGAGATCTCAGCCGTCGGGCCGATGTAGAACAATGCTGATTCAGGGACGGCTCCCTTTTGAGTAATCCATCGTGTTATGCTGGACGGGGTGCGAGAGAGAGGTCACACGGCGGCGCGGGCGTCGGAGCCGCGGCGTCCGGCCGCCGCGCATCGCGGTGACGCGCCGCCTCGGCCTGGCGCTGAAAGAAGGCGCGGAGTTTGGCTTGCACGGCACGCAGGTCCGGGCTCGGGTCAATGCCGCTGCGCTGGATCCATCGCGGGAGTTTGGCCAGGATGCCTGGGCGGGCATACCGCGCGTCGACGAGAATGATGGCGGCGTGGTCGCCGATGTGGCGGATGGCCCGGCCGATGGCCTGGTTGACCGCGCGCATGCACATGTCCTCGTACATGACGCCGGCGGGCGAGGCGATGCGGGGCGCGCCGGGCCCGGCGTGCGGCGGCGCCGCGCATGTGAGCGCGTCCCCGGCGTCGGGGCGGCCGCCGAGCGTATTCGCGAACCGCAGTTTTTCCCGCAGCTCCGGCGACACGAGTGACGGGAACGGCAGCCCGACCATCACGACGGCCCGCGCCAGATCGTCGTTGAAGTTGATGCCTTCCGACATCTTACCACCGACCACGCAGAAGAGAACCGCACCGCCACGGCCGCCGCCACGAGGATGGCGGGCGCCAGCGTGGCTGGACGGCGCGGGGTTGGGCTGAAGAATGGTGCTGCTGTACTGCGCGAGGACGCGCTCGGTGCGCTGTGCCTCGCGAGGCTCCATAAAGACAGGCTTGATGCGGGCGAGCGCGTCCCAAAGCCCCGACTGGCGCCACGCGGCGACGGTCTCCTCCATGTAGCTGTACGAGGGCAGCATGACGACGACGCCGCCAGGCGTGTTCTCGCAGACCAGTCCGATGGTCCGCCCGAGCGCCGCGACCGTGTCGGGAAGGCTCCGGCGGCCATGCGTGAAGGTCAGCGGCACCCGGCGCTCCCCGGGACACGCGGCGGCCGGCAGCCCGGCCTCGCCGACCGTCGTGGTGAGGATCGACGTTGCCGGCACGACGTGATCGCAGGCGAAACGCGCCACCAGGGCGTCCGGCACGTCCGCGAACAGCTGCTGCACAAGGGTGCTGACCGGCGCGAGCGTGCCGCCCGCGAGAATCACGCAGCGCGCGTCACGGGCGACGTCAGTGATGTGCCGCGCCGCGTCCAGGCAGAGGTACCGCAGGACGCGGTCGGCGGGCCCGCCGGCGCCCCGGCGGCAGAGCAGGATGCCTGCGCCATCAGGATGCTGGAGGGTGGACAGAAATGCCGTCACTTGGAGCAGCGCGTTGGATGCCCCGCCGCGATCGGTCGGTGGCAGCGGCGTGCCGTCGCGCTCCGCAGCAGCAGCAGCAGCGGCCTGCGCCGCGGCGCGCCGCTTCTCCATGTAGCCCTTGAGCTTCTGGGGCAGCCGGCTGTTCTGGAGAAAGTTCTCGATCTCGACCATGTTGTAGCGGTCCAGACCGGTCTGGTAGATGAAATCGCTCGGACGGAATCGCTGCACGTCGGCTGGCGCCGTGGGCATGGCTGCTTGAGCGGTTGTCGTGGTGGTCGTCGTTGCTGTGGCCGTCGATGCCGCAGCGTTGCCCTGCTGCAGGAAGGCGAGCAGGCATCGCAGGATGGCTTGGATCTGGCGGATGATGGCGAGGTTGGAGCCGCCGAGCCGGCGGCGGAAGCGGTCGAGGTACGCGGTGACCGCGGCAGCGGCGTCGTCGACGTCGGCCACGCCGAGCTCGGCGCTGTGGATGTCGCGGATCGTCTCGACGACGTTGTGGGCCTCGTCGACGATCACGATCGCGTTTTCCAGGTCGATGTCGTACGCCCGCCGCGCGTGCGCGCTCAGCAGCACGTTGTACGGCACCGTCACGAGATGCGCGTCGCGAAGGCTTGCGCGGCTCGCGTAGAAGGGACACGTCTTCCACTGGCGCCCCAGCGCGACGAGGTCTTCGAGGTCGCGCGGCGCGCTATGCACGAGGTCCGTGATCTGGTCCCGCAGATGGGGCTCCCGCTCATAGAACGCGCATCCGGCCGACGCAGCGCTCGTTTCCTTGGCTTTGATCTTGTCGAGGCACCGGTCGTTGATCAGCGTGACGCTCGTGAGCCG